CTTAGCATTGATCATTTAAATGCGCTTCCATTCAGCTGCTCATGCTGCAAAGCGCCCGGCGGACAAATGGCTTATTTCACCGCTTACTGGTGAGAGAATTCCGTCCGACAAATTGGAGGAGCACGTCCGGTAGGTGGTCATATCTTGAACTTACCATTAGCACACCCTCTTATTTTACTAGAAATTCAGGTTCTGTGTGAAGATATATACCTATTTTTTAAGCTATAACACAGTCGACTCTCAATACAAAGAGGATCGTGAACGGCTTATGGGAGAACGTGGTAATGAAGAGCCTGTGCTTGCTCCTGGAGCGGAAATTAGTAAAAATCTTGGAAGGTGTGTTTCATTTTATTGTTCCTCTCTTGATTTTCTTCTATTTTGCTTGCTTGTTAAAGGTTCGCTGAGCGTCGTACTGATATCTTCGGTGTTGGAGCGGCTGGAGCTGAGCAGACGGTCATCGGAAGAAAGCTTGGTGAAGAGGAGCCCCAGCCAACTAAGGTGAGTGATCTTTACGATTACGAATTCATTTTCCGTGTACTACACGTATTTACCTTAAGTTCTTCATTTACTGTTTGAAAGAAAGTCAAGAATGGTCACTAAAAATTAACACTCTCATTGTAGAAAATTTTGGATGTGCTGTATAAACTGTTTTCAGCAACTTATTTGGGACGGTTCGGAAGAGACACGTGAAGCTCATACGTTGGCTGTGCAAAGTCAAGTTACCATTGGTAAGTACCGCTCAATTTCCAAAAAGTTGAGTTTCGGGGGACTCTTTTCAATTAATTCGTTTCAGATCAGCAGATTCATGAAATTCACCGTCAACATGGCTTTCTTCCTGACTCTACCAAAGAGCGCATTGGAGCGCAGCCCATTGCACCACCTCCACCTCGTAGTGCCTCGGGTGCTAATGCTACTCCGGTCGTGAATCGAATGTACCCACCGCCCCCTGTTACCACAGGCATGATGGGTTTACCACCTGGTTACGCACCACCACCTCCGTCAATGGCCCCGCCAATGCAGCAACCGGATCAATGGCCTCCGCCAATGCAGCAACCAGCACCGGTTTGTGTTCAACTCATATTTAGTATGATTACCAGCTGACGAATGAAGCTATTTCAGCCTGTGCCAGAGGGACCGCCGGCAAAACGCCAGAGGACTGAAGATGATTTGGAGCCTGAGGCGGAATGGCTTACAAAGGTTGGACTTTGAAATTACTGTTAATTCTAGATGTACATTCTCCTTTACATTACCAAGCTAGTGTTCTTTAACCCCCCCCCCCGCTCTCCTCGGTGAGCTGGCTAACCATTTAAGATTATTAGAAATCTGGAGCGAGCCAGCTTCAGTTTGGTGATGTTGAAGCTCTGTGGTATGTCTCAAGTCTTGAGCCTAATGGACGATTTAGGCATCATGAAGCCGATTTTCTGATCTTACATCAGTCTCCATTCATTCATAATTCAAAATATTACTACAAGTTAAAGTTGAGCGACGTATTTTCAGGTCAATGGTATCATTGATCTACGAATTCAGCTGCCGACCAGTGCCGAATTTAATATGGATGGTTCAATTATTGGGCTTCAAATTGATGTTACCTCACAGGTACGGCTGATCCGTTCTCGAATGCGCTGACATTTCTAAATACTCTTTGTTCTGTGTTTGTGCCTTTAGCATCATTGGTTTCTAACTTCCATTATCGAGAGAAAAGGGTGCTAAAGTCTAAACGTGGAACTTTTCAGGTGGCTGATCTCAAACAGAATCTTCAGGACAAACTCAGTATGCCGACTGGAAAGCAGAAGCTTATTTTCGATGTGAGTTTCCTTTTATAGTTTAGGGACTTGTGCCATTTTCCAGAAGCCCTGCGCCACTTCATGAGGGTCAAAGGAGCTTCATTTGCCAAGAAATGAGCAACGAGCGGCCAACTGGCTTCTTGGGGTGGAGCCAGGATGCTTAAGTGGTCTAAGATTTACTATTTGTTTCTACACTTCGAGTCGGCTGACCAAGGGTAAACATAATAAATGACGCTTGTTTCAGCTACAGCACATTAGACAGTCCCTGTTTTGGAGTTCTTCGACCTTGCTCGTTTTCAGATCCTTTATTTCAGGGATTCTTCTTGAAAGATAACTTCTCGCTGGCCTACTACAACATGAAAAACCAGTCATTCGTTATTTTACAGATAAAAGAAAGAGGTGGTAAGAATAAGTAGACTTGTAGTTATTTTGCTATCCGTGTTGTTCGTGTACTGTAATAATATGCCTGTTATTTGTTTGGTGACGTATCCAGAACTTCAGTAAAAGCTGTGTTATGTTAATTGATTTTATTAGAATACACGTAAGGCGAGCCTACAGGGGCACAGCATAAATATGATTTATATATCATTGGGTTTGGCATCCTGCCAGCACCAAAGATGAACCTTGGTGATACACGTATTTGTAAGTGCTGCACTTTGAACATTAGAGCGTAAACGAAAGAACTACTGAATTTGACTAGAGTGAAGAGAGCACTGCACAAATGAATGGAAATATGAAAGCTATTGATGACTCTGTGTCACCTGCAGAATCACCAAGAAGACACTCGGGTGTGGGTTCCTGAAAATAGAGTGCTCATTGAAAGCTTGCCAAGAATCTGT